TAAATGAGTTTTGTCTATGACGTCTGCGTATTGTTTACAAATATACGTTTCAATTTGCAGAACCATCTACATGTACATTATAGTACACCCACCCAGCGACACATGGCAAGCGATTTTCCGTTTTCCCGTTTGTTATTGCTGCGATGTTTTCAGCCCCCCTCTCCTGCAGATCCATTTGATTTTTCCTTCTTCGTTTTCCTTTTTTTTCGGGGGTGTTCTTTTCTCGGTTTTTATTTATTTTTTTTTTCGGGGGGATTCATGGCGCTTGCATAATCCTCGCTTGTCGAAGCTGTCAGCGATGTTCGCTGCAGCTGTTATTGGCATTCAAATGAATATGTAAACGTCGCATCTCACAGATTGTTTTTCGCTAAAAACGAAACAAAATAAACAATGGCAGTGGTCACGATTTGCCACGAGGTGCAAAAGTCATCAGGTAGCACGTTTCCAATAACTTGAAATGCAACCGATTCTTTTATGATGATGATTCACGTGATCAAACATAAATAAATAATTTGAATATTCAAATTTGAAGAAACTGGCTCCAAGATATACTTACAAATAGGAAATTCTAGAAGGAATTTGAAGACGACAGCCAATTACTTTATAAATCATTTATTAAACTTTAAAATCAAGTAGGAAAAATCCTTTTAATCATTAATAAAACATAGAGTAACTCTAGTTGTTTTTATTTTCTCCCTGTGCTTTTTTCAAGGCTCGATCCATTTATTTTTTCTGATTTATTGCTCTGAGGAAGGTTGGGACAAGGAGAAGATAAACTGCAAATTAAAGTTAATGTTTATGCAGCCTCTGACAAATTGCCAGGTTAAATGCGACCTCTTCGTACGACAAGCATCGATTATGTCGAATTGTAACGTTAACAGCATCCTGTTTCCTGTTTCCTTTGCCAAAAAGGAAGTTGCCCAACACACACATGCACACGCATACTCACTCACGAGATAGAGGCAACCGCAACGTAGCATACTTTGCGGCGCGTTGATTCGTGTATGGCTGCTGGCATTCCAGCATACATAATTGATGTTTACTCTGAAGTAACCATGCCAAACTACCGCACACACACACCCCCCTCGAAACACACACTCCTACACTTCTTGGGCTACAACTTCCGCCACAACTTCCGCTTGGCTCCCGCTTTGAATGATTAGTTTTGGTCATGGAGCATAGTAGTAGTCCTAGAAGCTACAAGTCCTTGTCCTTGCTTTTGGCCATGAAATCAAACTAAGTGCTCGGGCCAAAAGTCCTTTATTTTTCAAACTGTTTCGCTCCCTTGGGTTTCACTGTCTGTGGGAGTGGGGTGTATGTCTGTGTGCTTTATTATTCACATTCAAGGTTATAGTTTTGTCAACATCTCTGGAAAATTGTCTGCGTTAGTGTGTGTGTGTTATTTGCTGGGTGTGTATTTGTTCTATTTATTGATTCATCAAAGGGTTGCCGCATATGCTTTCCTTTGATTATAATTTACATAATGGCAACAAGTGGTGCAGAAAATGGAAAACAATTTTGATTTAAAAATGGGTAAAGTTGATATAAGGAAAGGGGTATTAAGTGAGGTTCTTTAACTGGAATAATATTTTAATTTATAAAAGTTTAATTGTGTATAAAAGCAATCTCTTTTTATAATATTTAACTAAATTCTATAGCTTCTCTACTACCGAGTTTTCCTTTTGTCTTTCTGCTGCTTTCTATATTTAGTTTAGCATATTTTAAGCCAACTAATTCTGGCCAATTTCCCCGACTGTCCCATTGTTCTTTCCGATTCATTAATTTCTCCTCGCTTTGAAGCAGCCAGTTTCAGCGGTTTCCTTTTCATTCTCGGTTCCCTTTTTGTCAATTCAATTGTCTTTGCCATTGCTTCAGCGACAGCACCAACAGCATCAGCATTGCGCATACGCCCCGTTGACAAATTGTAATGGCCAAGGCGTTTGTTGTTCTGTTGCTCTGTTGTTGGGAGGTGCCAGGGGTAGGGGCAAAACACACAAAGAGAAATACGAGGACCAGGAGGAGGTGGAAGAGATGGAGGTGAAGGAGTCTTACCCGGTGGACATCTTGGCCAAGAGAAAACCACTTGCATTCACTGCTGATGGCTGCTGGCTGGCTGCTGCTGCGGTGAAAATAGAATTGGCAATGGCTTTGGATGGTTGAGTCTTTGGCTCCTACTGCTCGTCCCTCATCGCGATACCCTTATGCCATGTGGCAAGTGTGCCTGCGTGTGCACAACATGTCGCGCCACCAAAACACACATACTCAAACACACATGCGCCAAAGATTGGGGCAGGCATCAAAGGTAAACAGGGAACAATTGGGGGGCTTTCAAATATTCTTTAATTAAGGTTTGCCCCTTTGTTTTCTTTTAAATATGTTTAAAATAAGGTACATAAATAATAATGTTTCCCAATTAGTTAAAGAGATTTCTAAAATGATTTCTATACTTATTTTTTCGTGTGTATCCTTCGGGGACCATACTGTTTCCTTTACTGCCACAGTTGCCAAATTGTTGGGTGGCGTCGCATGGTGATGTTACTAGTTTCCTTTTGCTCGGTTGGCTTGCCCGGTATGTTTGTTTTGTTTGTTTGTTGGCTCGCCTGTTGCTTTTGCAATTTCCCTGCTGCTTCTGCTTTGAAAGCATGCTTTTGAATTCACTCTGGCGCTCGCCTTAATGACCAATAAATGTCGCAGCAAATGCTCTTGCAAAAATGCAAATGCAAAATGCAAAATGCAAATGCAGCGAACGGCACAGTTATCTATTTATTTGCGTAGCAATTTTTAAATTTAGTTTAGATAAACAAACAAGACAGTCGGGGCAGCAAAAGCAGAAAGTGTCACAGTTTCTCGGCCCACGCAGCGCACAGAAAGTGGTAGAGAAAGATAGAGATTTGGAGGCGACCTAAATGCGACAATATTCGATGAGGTCTCTAAAAATATCCACACTTGGAAAAAAGAAACATCTCGAATGGTAAAGTTAGTTTTTTGAAAAGGAAAGGAAATGTGCTATTTTAATTAGATTTTGTTGAAAGAACTAGATCAATAGGTTAAGCAATTATGGGGTTGTGTTTATAATAACCAAGTTATACTTTTACTTGAGTGCTTAATAGTAATTTTTGTTACAGTCAATAATCTTTAAATACTCTTTCAAAAGCATAGGTTAGTAAATGAAATAATAGCGATTTTGAGCTAAAAGCACGATCTTATAATTCCCAAGTACTTACTTATAAGTTTCACCTTTAATTCCCAAATGCTTTTCCATTGCTAATTCATTCAACATTTTCCCCAAATCTTCGCACGTGTCTGTATATTTCCCATCGTGTATATCCGCAAAACAACAATGTAAGCAGACCTTTTTAAGCTTTACCAAAATAACAATCAAAGGAAAACGGAAACACAAAACAAAACGTCCAAAAATAGCCAAACATTTGACAAGTGCATGTCAGTCATGTGTCTCTTGCTCGCAAAAAAAAAGGTTCTTTTGGCCATTATTGTACGATGTGGTAGTACTTCTTCTAGTGCCACCTATTTATTTATACCGCTATCGGGTCGAAAATAGTCGCTTTATTGCCGAGCGCAATATTGCATAATCCGAGGCGTGTCTGGGAATGTCGCTTTCGCATGATGCAATGCCGTCGAGTGCCAAGATTTTCGTCGCATTTCAACTCGCGCATTACTGTCGCCACCAGTTACGAGTAAGTGCAGCATCAGCATCAGAATCAGCAGCGCCCAGTGATTCGGCAAATTGCAATTATAAATTTATAAGCGTCTATGTATAACCCGTCGCAGCTCAGAGTATATCTCGATATATCTGTATCTGTATCTGTATCTGTATCTATTTTTTGTTGCCGCCACAGGCAATTCTCTAGCCAAAAAGTGCCACAAAATCGCAGGCGAAGCGAAATAGAAAAGAATTTGAACAAGAAAGGAAGCTAACTTCGGCACGCCGAAGTTTATATACCCTTGCAGATAGAAATTCTATGACTAGGAATCCATACTATATAAATTAAATATATTTGTGTTAAAAAACAATGAAGTAATACCTGCTTTCATTTCATTCACCTATACATATTATATTTGCAGTTTTACATTCACAGATTTGCATTTTTCCTCTTCATCAAACGATCGTTTGTATGGCACCTATATGATATAGTCGTCCGATTTTTATGAAATTTGCCACAAAATTTAAGACTAATATAAAATGGCTACACCTCAAATTTGATGAAAATCTGTTGAAAACTGAAAAAGTTATAATTTTTAATTTTATTAATTTCTCGATCGTTCCTATGGGAGCTATATGATATAGTAGCCCGATTTTCATACAATTTTATACAAAATTGTAGAGTATAGTAAAATGGCTATATCTCAAATTTGATCCAATTCTATTGAAAACTGAAAATGTTAAAATTTTTTTTTGTAAAAATTTTCCGATCATTCCTATGGCAGCTATATGATATAGTCGTCCGATCCGGCCCGTTCCGACATATATACGAGTGAGAGTATATAGAAGGCTAACTACAAAGTTTCATTCAGATAGCTTCAAAACTGAGAGACTAGTTTGCGTAGAAACGGACAGACGGACAGACGGACAGACGGACAGACGGACAGACGGACAGAAGGACAGACGGACAGACGGACAGACGGACAGACGGACATGGCTAGATCGACTCGGCTGTTGATCCTGATCAAGAATATATATACTTTATATGGTCGGAGGTGCCTCCTTCACTGCGTTGCAAACTTCTGACTGAAATTATAATACCCTGCAAGGGTATAAAAATAAATACCAAGTACGCGCTTTGCTATGTTTTCTATGTCCCATTCGGTTTGTCATTGCTTTAGGCCAAGAAACTAGGTTACTTGGCAGTGCTTAGCATAAATACCGAAGCACACCAGCGGGCAGCACGGCAGAAGCATCTGGTTATCATAATAAATGCTGGGGTTTACATTCTTTGATTATTTAACTTATTAATGTTAATTCTTTATTATCATTTTTACAGAGTCTACGCAGAGCGTGGACGGAGCACCTGCATCGTGGCGTTTAACGCTCGATCAGGATCTAATTGACACGCTCAAGGGCAACTTTCCCAGCTGGTTCCAGGGCTCGGCCGGCGGCGTACCCGCCTCCAAGCAGCAGCAGCATCAGCAGCAGCTGGCCCAGCAGAAGCACCACCAACTGGTGGCCACCAGTGTCATACCCATTACCATTGACACCAAGCTTGCCACAAATACACTCCAGCAACAGCAGCAGCAGCAACAAACCGCGGTGATTTTGGGCCATAGTTCATCGTCGGCCTCGCCTGCCTCCTCCGTCAGTTCCAATTCATCGAAAAAATCCATTAGCAGCAGCCTGAGCAGCTGCAGCAGCAGCAGTAGCAGCAGCTCCCACTCCAGTTCCAGTGCCAAGGGAGCCGGTGCAGCGACGGCTAGCCGGTTTCTCAACAAATCCACCTCCACGTCGCCGACAAAGAGCCTATCGAGGACATTTAAGGCCACCACCCAAAAGACCGGCAGCAATAGCAGCAGCCAGAAGGTGGGACAGCTGGTCAAGTCCGCCTCGCTCCATAGCCTGAGCAGCGGTAGCAGCAGCAGCACCAGCGGCGGTAGCAGCAACAGCAGCCACAGCAGCAGCAGCGGTAGCGGTAGCGGTAACGGAGGCAGTGGCACCGGCAGCTCCTCGCTGCTGGCCACCATCTCCACATCGCCGCTGACCACCGTTGAGCTCATATCGAGTGCCGCCTGTAGCGGACTCCTGGCCACCCGGCTGAGTGGTAAGGCCTTGGAGCATACCTTTCAGGACATAATACTGCTGCACGAGGCCTACGACGACATGTCGGAAGGTTAGTTAAATGGGAATATAATTGAAAACGAATAATAGTAATAATAATTTACCTTTCTTCGGTTTCAGGTGAACAGCGTTTGCATGCAACGTTCCTGGGCAGCAGCGATGATGGCAACAACTCGGATTGCTACGATGCGAGGCAGTCGCCGCCAAAGGCCATTGTCGATTCCAGTCCACTGCAGCCGGCCATGGACAAGAATAAAGAATGTGAGTGTGACTGAAATTGATTTAAAATATTTATTCCAACTCGTAATATTCACTTAAAGAAGTTATTTTGTTAGCCAACATGCATTTATCCCAATTTAGTGGCAGGAAAGTAGTAATAATTAGGCAGAGTCTTGAAACAAGTTTAGAAAATACCAAGAGTAATATGAAAAACCAGTGTTGCCAAATAAATATATAAAATTCAAGTAAATTAACATGTATTTTGGTATCCCCCTTCACTAATTAATAAATATCGATAAATGAAAACTAAGAATCGTTGTAAGGATAGTATCGATAGTTACAGTAAAAGTTTACCTGCTCTAGTTCCTACGACTACGAATTCATTTTCTTTCCTGATTTGACCGACTATGGTCGCAGCTTATTTATTTATTAATTTGTTTTTGAACTATAATTCTTTCGTTTCCATTATTTAGTATATTTACTTGTATCCTTAAGTTCTCAGATCTCTCAATCAAAGGATTATCAGATAATTTTTAAGCCACTTTTTTTTATACAAGTTCTTATTGCCTTTGTCGTGTATATTGATTTCTTTTCCTCCGATATTTTTTTGAAAAACTAGTTTAATTCGTTCATCAGATTATGTTCAATGTTCTCAGATTCATATTGAAATTTGGTTTTGCAATTTAATAAACCTTTCGCCTACAATTAAGGCATTTATTTATATTGAAATTTGGTTTTGCAATTTAATAAACCTTTCGCCTACAATTAAGGCATTTATTTATATTGAAATTTGGGTTTGCAATTTAATGAACCTTTCGCCGTACTATTAAGGCAAATTATTCCGTCCAATCATTGTTCGTTTTAGACATGTTTTCAATGTTTTTAAATTTTTTCTTTTTATTTTCACTGTCTTTCTGCTGGCCTACATATTTGCTTGGCATTTTGAGTGAAGAGAGATATTCTTATTAATTTTGAGTGGCCGAAAGATGAGTGTGTGTGTATATAGTACAGATTTCTATAGATATATAGCTGCATACTCGCTAATAGTTTTGACAGCTCTTGTCGTCTGCTCTTCGGTAAAAATATGACAAAATATAAATCTAAAACCGGAAATGCGCGGAAATATAGTAGAAAACGAAACAAAATTTAATGGTAAAGTTCACTCAATAGCTTGACCCTGACTAAAAAGGCTCTACAAAATTTTTATAAAATCAAGGCTTGTTCTTGTGTATTTATTTGAAAAATCTTTTTCAACATTTTTGCCAAATTTCGAGTAAGAAAAAAAGCTTAGTGCAAAATTTCCGGCAGACGTCGAACACGAGTTATCTAACATTAAACTGCATTTCAGCAACAACCACTGCTGGTCAGTTCCTCGATTCTGTATGTAAACATTTAACGAAAGAAAAAAATATTATATACACATGGCTATTGGCAATCAATGATGGCGGCATCGCCAGCGAAAAATGCACAACATTTTTGACAAATAAACAACGCCGCACGCGACTCAAAAAGACAGAAAATAAATAAAAGCGTAAATGAAAAATTCGATGGCAGGTTAAAAATATTGTAGATACTGCATAGGAAAAATATTTTATAAATATTTTAAGTCTGTTATTTACTTTTGCAGTAGGAAAAGTATATAGTTTTGAGTGATTGATTTGTAACGTTGGGGCACCACAAACTGACTTAATAATTCCTCTTAAAATTATATAAAATAATTAATTTAGATTATCAATCAGTTAACTTCTGTCCATATCATAAGCTCATAGAAATACCCCTTAGAAAATCCATTTTATGAGCACTTTATATCCTCTTTTGCCCACTGTATTTCTGGCGCTTGTTAAAGCCAATTCATTCATTTGCTTAGCTGGGACGATGGCGTCTTCGTTTAGTAGAAGCAGCGTTGATCACGTAATCGATTTTATAATACAACACATGCTTATACTTATATAAATATATATATATATATTTATATATACATACTTTTGAATTTCTCTCCCTCTCACGAGATGCTGCCATAGCTTTTCCGAACAATTGTTTACCTGACCTTCGCCACCTGCTCCTACTGCTCCTCCTGCTCCTCCTACTCCTCCTCCTCTTTGGGTGGCTTCACTCTCTCTTGGCGAAGGGCAGCTAACCGCAGCAAAATACCAACTGGAATTCTGTAAGAATTCGCTGGCCATGTCTACACACATTTATTGCTTTTCGCATAAAACTTTTATGTGTTTAATTTGGAATTTATGTTATTGTTTTTATCAATCGAGTGTGTGCGGAGGTGTGTAAAACCCAGGGGCGTAAACAGAGTATCGACGATTTAGATTTCAAGAAAGCGTTAAGAAAAAGGAAAAGAAATTCGCACGCATAATTAATTTACGAGGATGACGAACGGTGTCGTCAGCGAAAATTCATTCAAGCGATTTTCCAGCCAACGGTTTTACATGAGCAAAAAATAAGAGTATTTTCTTTGGCAGCCATAAAAACAAATATCAAGAATTCTAGACCTGAGAATTAAGGGGACCATCATTTGTTTTTCACTTACATTTGCAGAGAGAAAAAACAAGAATTTGGGCGTTAGGTTAGTACAAAATAACTCAAAAATTTTCGAAATAATAGCTAATGTATTGTCATTATTTTATTACAACATAATTCTGGCCAAAGTATTTTTAGTAGCAAAAACTTCAAGAGCAAAGGGGCTAGTAAAAAATTGTGGAAACATTTTCCTGAAATTTATTTTCGCAGAGTGTGTGTTTTTATACTCTTACAAGGGTATTATAATTTTAATCAGAAGCTTAAAACTCAAACTCAACTCAACTCAAACTCATTTCCGACTCTATAAATTATATATGTTCTTGATCAGCATCAACTCCCGAATCCGGTCCGGTCGACAAATAAATTGTACAAATTTTTTCAAAATAATTGAGGCTTGGAACTAAGAATACGCAATTAGAATAAATAAAATAAGCTTTATTTGCCCGATCATTCCTAAGGCAGCTATAGGATATAGTAATCTGATCTTCATAAATCTAAAAAAAAACTAGTAAAATTCTTTAACAATAAAAGATGCTCATATCTCAAAGTATCTCAAAATATGTTGATATATATGAAATTAATTTTATTTGTTCTATAAATCGTCCGATTGTTCCTATTTGCGCATATATATGTATATATATATATAGCCCACCGATTCGCCATGCTCCGACTTATATACTAGTAAAATTATATAGAGGAATTACTCCATAGTTTCATTCAAATAGCTTAAATTTGTTCCAAAACAAATCTCACATGTCTGTGCATATGATTCCCAACTAGTTCTAACTTCTCCAGAACGAAGTGACTGCTGCCAGCCAAGTCTCGGATACGTGTTGTGTTACAAAAGGTGCAAGTCATTGTTTATTAGTGTTTAAAGTTAGTAACTGGTCATAGATACTTACTGGTCATAGATACTTACTTGCTGGTCATAGATAATCACTGTTTAGAGTTACTTAATGTTCTGAGTTACTAACTGGTCATACTTAATTACTTATCATAGATACTTACTGGTCATAGATTACTACTGATACTAGTTACTTACTGGTCATAGTTAATTACTGGTCATAGTTAATTACTTATTATAGTTATATAAATCGTCCGATCGTTCCTATGGCAGCTATATATAGATATATATATAGTCCACCGATTCGCCATGCTCCCACTTATATACTAGTAATATTATATAGAAGAATTACTCCATAGTTTTATTCAAAAAGCTTTAATTTGTTCCAAATAAATCTCGCACATCTGTGCATATGATTCCCAACTAGTTCTAACTTCCCCGGAACGAAGTGACTGCTGCCAGCCAAGACTCGGATACGTGTTGTGTTACAAAAGTTGCAAGTCATTGTTTATTAGTGTTCAAAGTTAGTAACTGGTCATACATATACTTACTTACTGGTCATCGATACTTACTGATCATAGTTACTTATTGGTCATAGATACTCACTGATACTTACTGATCAGAGTTAAATTAAATATCAGCTCGGAGTTTGTCTCTGTCTCTCTGCCTCCCCCTCTCTCGCTATGTTAATTGCTCTATGAATCTCTAGAGGCAACTCCTTCTCTCCCGCGCTCCCACACTCACTTTCTCTGCTCCACTCTCTCCTCGGGAACTATAAATAGAGGCGCTGAGGTCGCGCGCGCCTCAGTCTGTCCTAGGGGTACCTAGTGTTGACATCGATAGTGATAGTGCAAGTGATCATCCTTCAACCTCAAAAACATGACGTGGCCAATGCAATGCATCTGGATGACCAGCAAGAAGCTCAATTGGATGAAGTCACCCAATCTTGGTCACTACTGATCATAGTAACTTATTGTTGAAAGATACTTACTGATCATCGTTACTTATTGGTCATAGCTACTTACTAATCATACTTACTTACTGGTCATAGATACTTACTGTTAAAAGTTACTTAGTGTTCACAGTTACTTACTGCTCTTAATTAATTACTTATCATAGTTACCTACTGATCATAGATACTTACTGGTTATAAATACTTTCTGTTCAGAGTTACTTATTTGTCATAGATAGTTACTGATCATAATCTCAAATTATCTTAAAATAAGTTAATAAATATGAATTTGATTATATTTGTTCTATAAATTGTCCGATTGTTCCATGTCACCTATATATTAATGATATATATATAGTCGTCCGATTCGGCATGCTCGGAGCATATAATAAAATTATATAGGGGACTAACTGCATAGTTTCATTTAATCTGCTTGTACTTAAATTTGTGGTTCGATTTGATCCTTTAATTTGACTGCAAACTGCAAGGGTATATAAAGTTCGGACTCCCAAAGTTAGTTTCCATTCTTGTTTATTTTTTATTTTATAGGTATACATTTTCTTGTGTACATTTTTGTGTGTGGCACACTTCAATCGTAAAATCGCCAACAGCTGCCAGCGCCGTCTGAGACAATTACGCGCCTTGGCAGCCTCTCTTGGCTTTTTATGATGATTTCCGACAAAGAGCCCAAAATTACTTTAATAACGTCATCGTCACTTTGATGTCGACTTTGTTGTGGCGTCAAGTGTTTCTTATATATTTTTCGGTCAAAGGGAAGGCTTCTGCTAACCCACTTACATTGCACACAATCGAGATAGAAATGCACACAAGCCGCAAAAGAAGTGAGCACTGTGGGAAAAATAGCAAAGAATCTTTATAGTAGGGAATTTTAAGCAAGAAAACAGGAGTGAAGAGAACATAATTTTGGTGGTTATATTTACTATAAGAAATACATTAAAAAATATTTATATAGCTAAAGAGAAACCTTGCATTTCTCTCCATGTTCTGCCCATTTCCTATCCCTTAATGCTCTTCCAAGTCCTTGCAAGTAACCACAAACACTCACTCAGTGCAGTGGCTACTACAGTTTTCCCTTGGTTTTGAGGTTTTCCTGCCTTTTGGACAGGCCAAAGGGCACAGGATTTTGTGTTTTCGTTTCATTTGCGGCTCACAGGACCTTATTTACCATCCCCAGAGTCTTCGACTTTTGGATATCCCAGACTCCCTCTCTCTCTCTATCGTTCTCCTTAATGCGCATTATTTCGTTTTAATTACATGGCTGGCTGGCCATTTTGTGAATCAATTTTGCCAGTGCCTGGAATGCTAATTGAAGGTAATGATATTAGGACAGCAGCAGCAGCCAGGCAGTCAGGTCGTATACTTAATATTATGCCAAGAGGTACAGGAGGATGGAGTACGGGGAAAATACATTACACAATGCTTGCACGCATTTAATCGTCCATTCGGATTTAATGATGAAAGGATAATGTCCACATTAATTGATTATTTTATACGCCTTTGCGTTTATAATTGGAGTATCTTGATGTCATAGTATTTGGTGGCTGAAAGGAGTCGAGTTTATATTTATATTCATTTTAGCCGCCTGTCTGTCACATCCTGTTGCCAAGTTAATTGACATCAATCTGTTATTTAGCCGCTCTCTGAGCAATCTAATCAGATTATTACGCATACGCCCCATGGGACCGCACACCTTAATACCCAAACTCTGTGAGTTACTCAGCAAATGCTGACTTTTTCGCCTCGGCTTAAATATTTAATTTTTGGGCACACAAAAAACTTTGTACTCTAAAGTCAAATAAATATGTCTCTGTTTTTCTGTATATATACATATAAGTATGTATATATTTTGTATATTGTTCACACCATAATAGCCCGCACATAAAGATATTAAAAACTTTTCCTTTTTTCGCGCGCTGCCTTGTTTTTTCCATTTGCAGCTGCCTCTCGACATTTATTGCTCTGGCATTGTCAAAGAAAAAAAAGTAGCTAGGGATAGGAAAATGCGGCAAGGAAAGCTGAGGAAAACCAACCAGCAGAAAAACTTTTGCCGCCCACGAAAATTATTTCTCCCTCAGCTTCTTTTTTGAGGGCAGTTTTTTATGGGTTTTCTATGTTTGATCTCCTCTACGCCATCCTTTAAAAAAATATGTATTGTTTCATAATTTATGATTGTTTGCTGCGTCTAATTTGCGGTTTTTGATTTGTGATAACAACTTGTAAGGATATGCTCAAGGATACTTATGGGGTTACATTTTGTTTAGGGAAAAATCGGGATAAGGCTAGGGAAATTTGCTTATGTAGCAAAACCGACTTATGTATTTCTCTAGCTAAGCTCAAAAGTTACTTTTCCCAATCTTCTTAGAAAATGTAGAAAATGTAATAAATAAATAACTAACTCTTTCCTATTTTTCCTTCAATTTTCCAGCGCTCAAAGTGAAGCTCATGGTGCGGCGGCCGCATTCGCAGCTCGTCGAGCAGGGCATCATACCATGTAAGTACACAGTAATCACATTCTAGCTAGAGGCCACCAGAACGCCCCCAGGTCACAGGTCATCGCATTTAGTCGCTTAGTCAGATCAAATCGATAAAATACACATTAACCCCACTTAGCCGGCTCAAAGCATCTGCTGTGGCCAACCAATTCATTGGCCAATTGCGGGACGGCTGGCCAAAAAGGATATGCAAATACTGCCGAACATTTCATTTCAATGGCTTTCAAATTTATGCGCAACGAAGACGAAATACAGGAAAATGGGGGAAATGGGAGAAAGGGAAAGCCCAGAAAAGAATCCTGGAAAATATACGCAAATTTACAAACTAATTCAAAGCCCTCAACGCAGCCGAAAGTGAATTTGAATTTAAATGATAAATTTTCCAGTGCCGAGAGCGAGAGGAAAAGCAAAGCCGAACTTTTTGCCACAGGATCAGGAATCTATACATCTTATGTATTTAACAAGGAGGCAGGGTATTTTTTGTGTGGAGAGTCCTAGAAAGTGCATTAAATTTATTAGATGTGAAGGAGCTACGGGAAAAATCTCTTTCTTGGAAATGTTTACAACTGAAATGGCAAATGTTGTTTATCATCGCCTGACCTTTTGAAGGTTTAATAGATGTAGAATTTCCTTCTTAGAAGCGTTAAAAATACATAAATTTCTTTCATTTTCCCTCCGACAGCTCTTAAAACCTCGCCCGCCATCCACGAACAATGCAAGCAATTGGAACGCGCCAAGACCAGCGATCTGCTGAAGGCCAAAATCCAGCAGCGACCCAATCGCGAGGATCTCGAACGCCTGCACATTTTGGAGGAGGACGAGTGCCACATCGATCCCAGTCTGGCGGAGAAGCAGCGGATGCTGAAGAAGGCCCGCCTGGCGGACCAGCTCAATTCACAGATCCAGCACCGACCTGGTCCGCTCGAGCTGATCAAGAAGAACATCCTGCACACGGAGAAACCGATCGAGAAGATCGTTAAGGAGGGCCTCGTCTCATTCAAGGCCACCAGCGAGGGACTGCTCACCCGGCCGCAGCATCCGCACAGCTATGTAACCTTCGATGAGGACTCGCTGAGCTCGGAGAGCGATACGCGACAGACGCCACCGCGTCTTGATGAACCCATGGTGGTGGTGGCCACCGGCAGTAGCTCTCCCACCGATGTGCTCCAGGCCGCTGCTGCCTCCGCGGGCATTGTGACGATGGCCTTGACGATGCCCACTGCAGGACAACTGGTGGTCACATCGCCGCAGATACCACCACAGCTCAAGACGGTGGTGGTGGAGGCACCAGTGCCACCACCTCCACCGCCGCCTCCGCCGCTGCCCAATATTAACATCAAGGTGAAGCAGGAGACGGCCAATTTGTTTGAGGAGCTCTGCCAGAGTGTCACCGGTGTGTCTGCGGCGCAGCAGCAGTTCCTGCCCATGCTGGCCTCACCCTGCTCCCTGGCTTCCAGTACATCCACACTGAGTCCATTGTCTTCCATCGCCTCACCGCCACCGCCGCCGATGAATACCACGACGCGCTTGCATCTGCAACCTGTTTCCGTCAAATCCGATGCTCCTGGAAAGGATAAGAACCGCAAAAAGTCCAAATCGAAGCCGGTTTCAAAGGCGCGAACCATTAAATTCCATGAATACAAGGGACCACCGAGCGCCAACGCTGGCCAGAAGCAGGATCATACGCAGCCGGAGGAGACATCCTACCAGCTGATGTTGGAGCAACAGAACTGCTTGCTCAAGTTCCTGGAGAACCTCAACAAGAACCAGTCCATCCTACCCTCAGCAGCGGCAGCTGCAGCTGCAGCAGCGGCGGCAGCCTCGGCCTCGGGAGTTACACTGCCAACGGCACCAGGAGCGACGACCAATAGCAATAGCATTACGGTGACCACGAAGACGGTGCCAGCTCTGGCCTCTCAATCGGCACCAGCGCCAGCTCCCATTAGCCTGCCCAATACCATTTCCATAACGAGCAGCAGCGGCGGAGCTCCATTGAACTTTGGCGATGCCACCATGTTGACATCGGCAGCAACGGTGGCACCCACACCGCCGACGCTCTCGCTGATTGCTACTCCTCAGCAGCAGCAGCAGCAACAGGTGCCACAGCAACAGCAGCAGCAAGTGCAGCTACAACAGACAGCTGCAGCAGTGCAGCAGCATCCGCCACCCCTGCCCTCGCCGGCGCTCTCTATTAGCTCCTCGATTCCGCCTAGTCCGGCCACCAGTTATGCCGAGTCCACCGCCAGTTCCATTACGGATATGACGCGTCTGGAGAAGATGAAGGTCTCCGATCTGAAGCAGCATCTGAAGCGAAGGAATTTGCCCGTATCTGGACCCAAGCCGCATCTCATTGAGCGTCTGAAACCATATCTGCCACTGGAGCCGCTCGATAGCATAGTCACACCCACAGCAGCTGCTACCCCGGCCTCGACTGGCACTGGCACCACCGAGGTGATCACCATCAGCGATGCCATGGACACCAGTAATTGCGGTTTAGTGGAACAGCAGCCACCTCCTGTGGCCATGTTAGTCTCGGAAGCCGTTGCCATGGAGCACGAGCAGATGGACGTAGTGCAGCAGCAGCAGTTGGACACCACGCAAACGATGACGCTGCAAACGCTGATGCCACCTCAGCCACAGACGGCCACCATTATCCTGACCAACGAGGAGCTGCTGCGGGAACAGCAGCGCAAGATTGACGAGCTGCAGCGGCAACTGCAGCGATCGCAACTTGAGTTGCAGAAGATCCGACAGCGGCAGCAGCAGCAGCAGCATCATCAGGTGGTGAATGCTCTGCCCTCGCAGCAGATAACGCTGATCACCACGACCACGTCCACGTCCAATGGGCCACAGCAGCAGACGCTGACGGTGCTGCCGCAGCAGCTGGAGAAGAGCATACCCGCCAAGGTAACCGTCAAGGCCACAGGCTCTGCCAGTGCCCACAAGGTGAATGGGTTGCTACAGCAGCAGCAGCCGCAATCGGGAACAGTGGTTAAAAAGCAGCCAGCAAACAACAATGGCAGCAACACCACCAACAGCAGCAACATCACCTCAACTAATCCAGCACCAATTAGCCAAAAGATGGTGGTCAAGCAGCAGCTGGAGGCCAAGATCCAGAAGCAAAAGGCAGCAGCGGCAGCTGCCGCACAGCAACAGCAGCAACAGGCCCTGCAACAGCAGCAGCAACAGCAGCAACAGGTGCGCCTGCTCACGCAAAAGACACAAACTGTACTCATTCCATTCAACCAGAACAACAATCATGTAAACAATGCCACGCCTGCCAAGACAATAGCCAAGAAATCCAACAACGCCACCATATTGCAGGCAGCCAAGCCGGCGGCCACCACAGTGGCGACAGCAACCACTTCGCACCAGCAACAGCCGCAACAGCAGCCGCAGCAGCACAACAACCTGGGTCTGCTGTGGAACGAGGGCAATCAGACCATCTTCCTGGTGGGACTCAACGATCAGCATATGACGGCGCACACGTTGGGCAACATCAGTTTGACGGCCACCACAGCAGCACCAGCAGCAGCAGCAGCAGCAGTTGCAGCACCTGCTGGGGCACCAGCGCCTGTGCCAGCCACAGCTCAACCGAAGAAACTCCTGAATGGCCACCAACGCACAAATTCCCTGCCCAGCATTGTCTTTCCCATCGAGGCCAAGTCTATAATCACACAGCAGCAGTTGCAGCAGCTCCAGCAGCAGCAGCAGCAGCAGCAGCAGCAACAGCAGCAGCAATTCCAGCCTGCAGTGCAGCAGCAGCAGCAACTCATCCAACTAGACATCAAGCCAACGCCACCACCACCGCCGCAATACGAGGAGGCCACCAAGCAACTGGCGGCCAGCAAGGCTGCAGCATTGAATGGCTTGATGCCGCTGGTCAAGATTAAGGAGGAGCCTGTGCCATCGCCGCTGCCGACACCGGCGGCCAGCAAGCGCAAATCGGCGGGCATCAAGTCCGAACAGGTCAGCGATGTCCTGGACATACTCATCAAGCAGGGTGAGCTGCCCGAGAGTGCAGCTCTGGAGCCCATTACACCGCTGACGCCGTTGCCCGAGCTGGCAATGTTTAATGGAGCCACGGCCACAACGACCATGCCAACGCCCACGACGGTGGCGGGTGGAGCCAGCATAGTGCCGCTAGTGCCCAAACTGGAGGCACCACCCACGCCCATGGCCATGGACACGAACGACACGCATGTGAGCTACACCAGTCACGGTTTCATCGAGAGCATAGACATGGCTTCGCCCCTCCAGCCGGATCCCACAGCCGCCACCATAGATGCCGAGAGTGTGGCCAAGACGCTGGACATCTTTCTGGAGCAGCATCATGCCACACCACCGCCAAGCACGCCGCCCAAGAGCTGTCACAGCGTCGGAGGCGGCGGCGGCGGAGGCACCAGCGGTGTTCTCAACGATAAGCCCAACAATAGTCCGGACGCCAAGCAGCTCAATCATTTTGATGAATACGAGCTGCTGGAGCTGATGTCGCAGCAGCTGGAAATGGACATGGGCGACGATTCGAGTAGCTATTGCCACACCTCCGCACCCGCCAAGAGCAGCAGCAACAACAACCTGCGACGCGATCTCAATCCCAGCCTGCAGCCGTCCATCAATGAGCTGCTGGATGCCAGCAGCCCGGACAGCGTGCTGCTGAACAACAATCCCAGCACCGATGTGGACTTTGATGCCGATAGCTTTGTGGCTCAGCTGAGTCAGCATGTCACCGGAAATGGCAATACGGGCGTGGTGGGATCCGCCGGAGAGGCATCCTCCGCATCGGTGGTGAATGGCCACTTCAGCGGCCACAGCACGCCCATGGATTGCGATGACTTCGAGAGCACTCTCAACTCGTTTATGCAGGCGGTGACCCAACCGCAGGCGGGACAACACAACGAGTACTCCACCACGACGACGACATGCATGGCCAATGGAACGGGCATGGATGGTTCTGTCAATGGCACTGGCGGCGGTGGAGGAGGAGGAGGAGCAGTGGATGCCTTCAATGCCAGCGGGGATATATTCGATCTGTTCAACATGGACGAATACAAGATGAACTGGGCGGCGGGGGATTTTACAGTGTAAAAAACAGCCTATAGATATTCAGGCAGAGCAGAATTTTCAGAAAATTAATTTTTCATCCAATTCGGATTTGAATTTTAAGCAGAAAGTAAAAACCCTTGCAGTTCTGTGTTAAATATATATATTTCCACCCTAAAAAACTTTGTTCCGTATCAAGAAAACTAATCATACACACAATCCAGCGTGGTGCTCACTTTTCTTCAACAAAATATATATATTTATATATATTCCTGAAGAATTCGTTTCGAAGAAGAAAGCAAACACACACACACACTACACACAAATCCTATTTTATTTTCTAAATGCATTTAAAAATATTTGAACGCCAGTTGAAATTTCGAAACTTTACTATTTCCAACAAACGAAAAACAAAAAAACGAAAAAACAAAGCCAAAATTGCCGGGAGTAAAACACTCCAAAAAAAGAGAAAACAAAAGAAAACCATACTTTTGCACCCTTTCCTATATAAGAAACAACAAAAAAAACAGCCAAAACATTTAGAAAAGCAAAAATAACAAGTAAAACTTAACCATAAACTATCATTAAAACGTAAGCCTAAAAAAGGGTTGTAAAGATCAAAAAGGAGAGAAAACCGAGAGAGAAAAGAGAAAAGAAAAACAAAAAGTACATGTTTCTAATGAAGGTCATTCCAATTTGAAAATAATGCGAGTGAAATCTAACTATCTAAAAAGGATAACAAGGATGCAGAGAGACAGCGAGTGGAGAGCGTGAATGAGATGAGTCCAGGACCAGGACGATGAGGATAAAGATCTGGCAGAGATATATACTTATATATAAAGAGAAATTATATAAATATATATGAGAATCGCGCCAAGCGACACATAAGAGAATCGAAACACATTCAGTAATTTTGTTTTAAGTTCTATTTAAAATGAAATGAAATTAAATTATTTAGAGCCCCAAGCCAGGCTTAATTCTAAAATTAAATACACACAAAATTTGAGAAGTATTTCCTGCAAGGAAAGAAAAAGCCTTTAACGTAGTCGAGAAGCAAACAATTTAAATTAAAAAACCTTTTGATCAATTTTCATTTTAAAATGTCTTCTAAACCTATTAGGGAAAATATTTATAAATAATTATCGATGGTTCAGTGCGAATTCCGTTACTTAAATTAATTCTAAATAAATTATATCTAATTATAAACATATAATTTAATTATTTCGTAAAGGTAATAAATAATTCGAGTCCTGCGGCGTATACTTAACGCACATTTCTTAACCGTGTTTAACGCAATTCGGAATTGTAATTGTTTTTAACTTTTCGTAATGCTAAGTGTATTTTGTAAATCGAGAAAGAGCATGCCAAGCATTCGGACATATTTTTGAGTGTTTCACCGCTCAATTAAAATAAATTAAAGTTTAAATAAATAAATATTAAGCGTAATTGACACATTTCAAATGAGTAAAAGCCAAGCAAAAATACCAATTAAATAAAGGCAAAAGTACGGAAAAACCCACAACTCAATACACCAATATACATACATATATATTTTTGTATAAGAAAATTACGATATATATATAAACTCTACATTTAGCTCTAGTCCTAGAAAGGCATTCTCACATTTCACATTTCACAACAGCAAAAAGTTAATCACTCCGACGGACACTTGTTTACATTTGCAATAATAATAATAATATATAATAATCCACTTCAAACACTGATTTCGAAGCTTAAAATATTATAATAATTATTATCAGTGACGACGCTTTAAACAAACATAAAAACAAATGAGATACGTTTCCATTAAAACAATTCACAATACATGCATACATTAATTTTAATGAGTACGTTTACTGTTTATTGTTAGAACCGAAACTTAATTACCATAACTATAACTATTACTTATTGTTTGATTAATTCTAAATTTAATTACCTATATATCTAATTTAATCTTTGTGCGTTGCGTTTAAAAGAGAACAATTTCATTTAAATACAATACAGAAATACAAAATAAACTCAAACACGTCATAAAACTATGTATTGTCTGAGTTTTATATTTATTTTTTTGTTGTGGCAGCAAAAAGGATAAAGGTCTGTTTATATCAAGTGATAAATAACTTTGTCCAAGAACGTAATTAAAATAATAAACATTATTAATTTTTTCCAAAAAATACGCTCTCATCGGACTTAATTATTATTTATTAAAAACGATTAGAGCCCCGCAAAACCGAAAGCCAAACAAACAACTCCCCGCCCGCCCCGCTTTTCTCCGAGTTTTAAAACTCTGCGAAGCATAATAAATACACAATTTAAGCGCATTACGCCCGGGCGAAAGATGAATTCAACATTTAAATTAAAATCACTGACAGCATAATAATACGCCAATAATAATGATTTTATGGCAGCCACTGGCAGCGGCAACAACGTCAACAAAACAAGGCTTATCATTAGCCAAAAGCGACCATTGCTTGATTGGCGGCCAAAAAGCCACCCACACACACACACACATTCAGCTGCCTGTTGAAATCGAGTCGAGTCGAGTTCGCTTGTTTATTTTGGAACCTCTTTCCCCCGAGAGAGAACGGGCGAAATCAGCAAACAATATGACGCAAAATTGCAACAGCACATTGATGAGAGTAGCCATGGCAACAATTGTTGGGTATCCTTCATAGTTGGACGGCTGCCAGGCCCCTCTGCTTTACTGTTTTCGAAAGGATGGAGCACAGGGAACCCCACTGTGCGCTGCTGTCCCCCACAGATACTACAATCCTTTAAGAACAAGGACGACGCTACCGTCTTTCATTATACGATTTTTTATAAATTTACCACCTTGAATGGGGAAAATCAGGTGAGAGAGCTCTGTACAGTATAGGGTTTCAACTGCTCATTAGTTCGCTGAAATCGTACAATACTTGCAAGTTCTCTGTTACGACGTTTTTATACCCTTACGGGGTATTTTAATTTTAGTCAGAACCCTGTAATTATGTAAAGGAGTCATTTCCGACCCTGTAAACCATATACATTCTTGATCAGCATTAACAGCTGAATCTTTCTAGCCATATTCGGAAGAAAACATTTTTTTTCAAAATTTTATAATCGTTAAAATGTTCAAAATTAGCTAAAAATTTCAATTTTCTAAAATTTAAATTATGTATGCAAACTTAAAAAACATTAACACAAAACAGCTTTCCGATTTGAAATTAATGCTCTTTGGATTAGTTATAAGGTTTTTAAACTTTGATTTGTGGAAAATAATGTCTAAGCCTAAGCCTATGCAGAAATCTATTTATACGAAAATAATCCTAAATCCTATTCCAGATTTTGATATAGAACGAACTTTGGTATACATATTTGGCAAACTTAATTTGTGATCACCAGTTTAAAGTGGTTTTAGAGACCGTGAAAGGATTGCTCATAAGTTTGTAAAAAGTATAGCATACTTTCTAGCAAAGTTTACACAACCTTACTCGACCTTATTCTCCTTTAAATAACAATTAAATAGAAAACCGTTACTGTTCAGACAGGATCTCTCATATTTAAATTGGCATTTAAACTTGTTTCGTGACCGGTTCAATGCCGAGTTTAAAGTGGATTAAGTCTCTTTAAACACTCTCGGCGTACTAAGCTCCGGTAAGCCAGCTATTGTTTGCAATTAAATTCCCCTTTCAGCAATTGTCATTGAAGGGCTTAAAGTCTCTATTGAGTCGATAGAGCCAATGTGCTCAATTAAGCCACGCCAACGGCTTTAATAACTTGCCTATATATCCATGCCAATTTATGCATCCATATTCTGCGCTGTTTTTGGCGCTCTCTGTTTTGCTCCGTGTTGCTCTGTATTGCTGGCGGCCATGGCGGAAACAGGCGCCATCGTCAACATTCCACAACAACAGCTGCAATATGTGCCAGCAACAGTTGCTCAGGGCCACCTCAAACCCGAGGCCTGAAGCCAGGCACCTAGCCACCTAGCCACCCGAATACCGCCCACGAGAATCCACAACCACCTATTGCGAACTAAATTTATACAACGCTGACTGTAATTTGCGTTATTAAAATGGCGTCAGTTGCTTACCAAAGCGAAAAGTTTTACCCACGCCCACTCTGCCTTGTCACCGGAGTCCCATGTCCTGAGTCCTTAGTCCTGTGCTTCTACTGCTGCTCCTGCTCCTCCTCCTGCTCCTACTGGTGGTCTTTCCACGCTCCTCTAATTGTGTTTGAGCTGCGCTACCCAACCGACAAGGAGTGACCCCCAAAGCAGAGGACAGAACGCGAATGCCAAGGCGACTAAATTGAGATTTATGTCGGCAAATTTCGTATTTTTCGCCAGGACACAAATCGGATATTTAGCAGGAAATGAGCGAGTAAATAAATTAGGATTTGGCGAAAGGTATCTGCGGTAGTTGAAGACGATCTTAAGGCAAGCTAATAGCCAAAATAGGTTGTATTATTATATACTTAATGAAACTTTATGCAAGGGGAAAATAATATTAGTCGGAAGCTGAACTACAAAATAGTTCTGCAATACAAAATATTATATTTAAATGATGAATAGAACAATAGAATAGATTCGGAAAAGGTAACAAATTTCTAAACGACACAAGAGTATTAATATTTGGACTTCGGAAAGACTGTTCCCATTTATTTTTTATACCCTAAACAGGGATTCTCATTTCAGTCAGAAGCTTAAAACGCATCGAAGGAGTCATTTCCGACCCTATAAACCATATATATTCATGATCAGCACAAAAAACTGCGTCGATCCCGATTACTCCGTACGAAAAATAATTTTTTCAAAATTTGGCCAAAATCTGAAAAAATTATAAGGGGTTACATCATTAAAATTTGCAAAAATTGGCCAAAAATTGAGAATTTTAACATTTTAAACTAAGTATGCAGATTTGTTAACCTAGTAAAAACTAGCACAGAACAGCTTTCCGAATTGAATTTCATGCATTTTTGGCTGAGTTATGAGTTTTTTATAATTTGATTTGTCGCAAAATTTTTCGTATTAAAAAATACCAATAAAATCCATACCAATTATATTGTTTTTAATTTCATTTATCTACAAAAAATTCTGCAATACAAAATAACATATTTAAATGCAATAATGATAAATAGAACAATAGAATAGATTCGGAAAAGGTAACAAATTTCTAAACGACACAAGAGTATTAATATTTGGACTTCGGAAAGACTGTTCCCATTTATTTTTATACCCAAAACAGGGATTCTCATTTCAGTCAGAAGCCTAAAACACATCGAAGGAGTCATTTCCGACCCTCTAAACCATATATATTCATGATCAGCACAAAAAACTGCGTCGATCCTGATTACTCCGGACGAAAAACAATTTTTTCAAAATTTGTCCAAAATCTGAAAAAATGATAAGGGGTTACATCATTAAAATTTGCAAAAATTGGCCAAAAATTGAGAATTTTAACATTTGAAACTAAGTATGCAGATTTGTTAACCTAGTAAAAACTAGCACAGAACAGCTTTCCGAATTGAATTTCATGCATTTTTGGCAGAGTTATGAGTTTTTTAGAATTTGATTTGTCGCAAAATTTTTCGTATTAAAAAATACCAATAAAATCCATACCAATTATATTGTTTTTGTTTGAATTTATCTACAAAAAAATTCTGCAATGCAAAATAATATATTTAAATGCAATAATGATAAATAAAACAATAGAATAGATTCGGAAAAGGTAACAAATTTCTAAACGACACAAGAGTATTAATATTTGGACTTCGGAAAGACTGTTCCCATTTATTTTTTATACCCAAAACAGGGATTCTCATTTCAGTCAGAAGCCTAAAACACATCGAAGGAGTCATTTCCGACCCTATAAACCATATATATTCATGACCAGCACAAAAAACTGCGTCGATCTTGATTACTCCGGACGAAAAACAATTTTTTCAAAATTTGGCCAAAATCTGAAAAAATGATAAGGGTTACATCATTAAAATTTGCAAAAATTGGCCAAAAATTGAGAATTTTAACATTTGAAACAAAGTATGCAGATTTGTTAACCTAGTAAAAACTAGCACAGAACAGCTTTCCGAATTGAATTTCATGCATTTTTGGCTGAGTTATGAGTTTTTTATAATTTGATTTGTCGCAAAATTTTTCGAATTAAAAAATACCAATAAAATCCATACCAATTATATTGTTTTTGTTTAAATTTATCTACAAAAAAATTCTGCAATGCAAAATAATATATTTAAATGCAATAATGATAAATAGAACAATAGAATAGATTCGGAAAAGGTAACAAATTTCTAAACGACACAAGAGTATTAATATTTGGACTTCGGAAAGACTGTTCCCATTTATTTTTTATACCCAAAACAGGGATTCTCATTTCAGTCAGAAGCCTAAAACACATCGAAGGAGTCATTTCCGACCCTATAAACCATATATATTCATG